TAAAAAATAAATTAGGCAGCAAGTCTTTCTTCATGTAAATAGCACTTATAAAACAAACTTTCTAGGTGAATAATTTCTTTTACGATTAATAAAATCTGCAATCTGAGCAACAACGTTCTGATGACTTTTTGCCATTTGCAATTATCGCTCATCCTGACACCAAAAACTCATTATTATTAAAGCTGACAAAAAAAGATACTTAGCTGCTTCTATGAAAGGACTTAATTTTTAAAAGAACCCCAAGTTTCTAAGCTTTGTTTCTATTTCTGAATCTTGAATGTGAAAAGCGAGGCCATACCAGCAACCCTTGTGTACGTCTCCTTCAATTTCCAACAAGTAATTTGGATAAAAGCATCTAATTTGTATGGTAACACAACGCATTACAACAGCATACTGCTTTGGCTTAAAAGCAACCTACTAGGAGTATGGAGTTAACACAACCCTATATAACCACAAGCATGTAGTTTATACTGTAAACATACATTTTTTTTTTCCCTTTTGCCTTTTTTTATAGCAGTATTGTCTCAAGGAACTAAAAGCACTTCACAGTTACCATCGGACTCGCAGCACTCCTGTGAGTAAGAGTATATAATCTCTATTTTAATGGCATGGAAGCTGAGGCACAACTATTACAAAGGCAGCTGTGGCAGAGATAGGAACAGGAACCATACCCAACTTGGAGCTCTGTGAGTAAACCCAGGCCTACCTGACATGCATTATCTATAGGCAGAAAGGAACATAAGTAATTTTGTGTTGGCACCTATAGAGATGTTGGGATGAATGTTGCTTGTGCCTCACTCCGTCCTTGCTCCCTGATGTAACAGCACAGCAAAATCAGAGCCCTGTTAAAAAAACAAACAACCCAATGCAGATGCTGTTAAATGGGCTCAAACACACACAAAAAAATACTGCCCAGTGTGTAGGTGCTTGATAAATGTTGGTCTGAGCTCTTTATAAACACAGATCTCCAGTTTGTCGTGATTTAGTGGATGGTTAAAGGTCTGGAGCACACAGAGAGCCAGACTCTTCCCAGGGCACGCCGTAAAAGCCGAAGAGGCAACCGGCACAAGCTGCAACAAGGGAAAATCTGGTAAAATGTAAGGAAGGAAAATTCAGAGCGGGTGCTTAACCAGCAGAACAGCTGCCCAGGGAGGCTGCAGAGCCCTCATCCTCAGGAGCATTAAAGGACTTGCCTGGACACAGACACGACCCTGAAAAACCTGCTCTGCCTCCACAGTTGGCCTGCTTTGAACAGGAGGTTGGACGAGATGACCTCCTGAGGTATTTCTCAAACCGAATTATTCTATGAAGACCATTCCAAAGACAAGCGAGGTTATTCCTTGGTTTCCCTGCTGCATCCCAAAGCTTATCACAAATTCATACCAAAAGGGTGACCTCGAACTTCTGTTACTAACTTTTTCTACTTCATGCAGCTCGCTCCTTGTCCTGAAAAAGATGAAATGGAGCAAACCCAAATCTTTGCTTTCACCCACCTAAAAACTACAAAAATGAAAAGCAAAACACAATCATTCTGTTCAAGCACCTAAACGCACGCGGTCATTTGAGGTCTCGCTTCGAGTTTACATACCTTCCTGACCCCCTCTCCTCCTCAGAAATACTCCGAAAAGCAATCAGTCTGCTGTGCGGAGAGATCCACAGTTATTTTAATAACAGCATCACAGAAACAGCTCTCAACGTCTTCATTTCAAATTCCTCCTTCCCACCCGCACGTTCATAAGAGGTGCTGCATATGGTGAAAACTAATTCAGTTTGAACCAGAAAAAAAACCTGGGGTTAAGTACTTCCCCAGTTGGAATACAGAAATTGCAACCACACGTGATTGTCAAGATATAAAGGGCTACAGTCAACATGCATAAATACTTTTTATATCCTTCAGAAAAACTAAGGGAGTTAAAAGGTCTTTTAGGGGGAACAGCTAGGAATATCCAAAAATGGGTAAGACAGCCAAGGGTGCAACTCCTACGTGCAGCCCGTTCCCAGAAGGAGTCAAAGTCCATCCTGGAATTCAAGCCCCTTTCAAACAACTTCTCATGAGTAACAGAAGCCTTTCAGGAGGAAGACTGGAGACAATCAGCTTCTCATTTCCAACTAATTTTTCTTTCCTTCTCTTTTGTTACAGCCCGATCGCAGCCCCGGTGGCAGAAACATCCACAGGCACACCATAACCTAACGGAACAACTTGGCAATAATTTGATATTCAGCCTAAGACTATTCTCAGCATTTCACGTTGATGTGAACTGGGCGATGCTGCAACTTATCACAAGCCAGATTTGCTAGACATTCCCCACCACAGAAAGTGAATTAAACTGTCACTCATCACTGTATGAGTGGCTCTGGTATAACTACTTCTTCATGAGTTGGACAACACTTCTCTGAATTGAAAACAAAACACTATGTCGCAAGTTAAAGTCTTCATCCTGGTTTCAGCACATTTTCTTTTCCTTTCTACTTCTCTTACCTATTTTCTGCTCAACTGTTTTTCCCCTGACACAATATGTTTAACCCTCTCTGCTCCACTTGCCTGCTCAGTGCTTTCTTTTGTTTTTCTCCTTGGTAGATATAGACTAAGAAGCTTGCACCAGAGCTCCAGCCACCCTGCCAAACTATTAATTACGATCTACACCCTGAACTACTGACACCCTCTTGGTCCATTCCCTAACTCCACTGACAAGTCAACTAGACCTCAAAGCTTGCAGGAGCACATCTCCCTTCCCCAAGGGCCACAGAATGGTTGGCCACAGTTGGAAGGGACCTTGAAGATCATGGAGTTCCAACCCCCCTGCCACAGGCAGGGACACCTCCCACGAGACGAGGTTGCTCAAAGCCTCATCCAGCTCATCTGACCAGCGTGTCAAGCTAAGGCTGAGATTTTATTTCTAAACATTCATTCTCTGGCACATCTCCCAACATACACAGTCTATTACAATGCAGGAAACACAGACACATTATTCATCGTGAGGGTTACTAAAAAAATAAAATAAAATTTGGAGAACGTTTGATTTAACTACAACTACAATTACAGTTGTTGGTATCTGCAATTTGCAGCATTACACACACACGCAGGGACAAACATAAAGAAGGAATATAAAATAAAAGCCTTATTCATAATTCAGACTCAATTTCCAGCAACAGTTTCATATATATTATTATACACACTATTTATGACTATGTACTAGCAGCACAGAAAAAAAATGATTAAATACACTCTCCTATACACACTTGTACACATCCAGGCATACACACAATTTCCTATTTTACCATGAACATACTAATGATAGGAATTGAAAAAGATTTTTAAATTATCAAAGCTGCATTGAAAGCTTTAAACTAGTTGCTCAGGGAAATATGCCCATTTCCAAGAGTTGGAAATGGGCTTTCCACTGTTTCCAAAGTGTAGTTCAAACTCATTTATGGGAAAAGGCTGCAAGAAGCATTATGATCAAGATGTGTTAGGGATAGTGAGGTGTTCAATAAGGAATCCTGTGAAGGAACAGCAAGGACTGGAAGGAAGGACTGCACAACAGCGTATGACAAAGATTAAACAGATTAAAAACAGGTGGGGGAAAAAAAAAAAAGAAAAAAAAAGGTCTTGGTGGTCTCGGCAGACAGCAAGGAGAACTTGACCAAGCAACGTGCCCTTGCAACAAAAGCCAAGTGCATCCATCCTGGGCTGTGTTACCAAGAGCACATCCAGCAGATCCTTCCCTTTCATGCAGGACCTGTAAGCGCTCCAGAACAAGGCAGCTTTGACATACTGGAGCAAGTCCAACACAGGACACTGGTGGCTGGAATACAGACTCAGCTCCTAGAACCTCACTATGTTTTCCAGTGAGAAGACAGAATGAGCCTATTCTTGGAAGGACACAGACATTTGACAAGAAGAAAGAAGCTGCAACGATGGAAATTCAGATTATAGCTGAGGAAAGGATGCTTCATGAGGCGGTGAAACATGGCGACGGGGGCCCAATAAAGTTGTGGAGTCTACATCCTTGGAGATAGTCAAAACTCAACTGGACATGGCCCTGTGCAACCTGGTCTAGGTGACCTTGCTCTGAGCAGGAGGTTGCACTGATCTCCACATGTGCCTTCCAGCCTGAATTATCCCACAATCCTATATATCTTGTTGGGAGAAACCAGAAAACTGGCCAAAGGAGACTAAGAAGACAAGAAACATCTAAAACAGCACCAAGGACCAGGATTAGCTCCATGAAGAAAAAAAAAAAAGAAAAAAGAGGATTGCAAAAAGAAGTTAGAAAAGTGGTGTGGCAAGAAAAATAGCAGGGTGAAAGAGAAAGTGGAAGCAGAGGATCAAGACTGAGGAATAGGCAAAGAAAGAAAAACCAAATCTGTGTCCACTAAATTACACTTTCCTCCAGTAGCTGGGAGGTGAAAGAGCCCACAAGAGTCATTCAGCAATGAAGTCGAGTATTTTAAGTTTCTATTCTGATGTGCATAGTACAATTGGGTAAGAGAGGGAATCGGGTTCTTTCTTTCCCCTCCCCATGCCCCCAAGAAACCAAGTAACCTTTAACCTCCCTTTTCCAAATACTTAAACTTGAACTTGCAAACTTCATAAATATTTATAACTGTGTACATTATGAAGAATGTTTGTCATACAAAAATACAAACACGTTTGTCAGCTTAAAAGTCAAAATGTTCATTACACCCCAATAAGTGCCTTACAGCTTTTTAAAATTTTATAAAGATATAGGACTATGAGTCTTTAGACATACAAACTTCGCTCCTTCTTCGAACTATACCACCAAATTCAAACACTGTTGATTGAGTTTACAGCATTAGCATTCACTTTACTATATTATTTTTCTATTGTAAGGCAGATGTTCAGCTGCACATGCTCCAACAGGGACTTCCTGCAGTCACCAAAAGGGAAAGCACAGCCCAAATTGCCTTTGTGAAAGCAAATAAGAGACCATGAAAGAAAAACAAACCACAAAAAGAACAGATATCTGCACACTTACCCTGCGATATCCAGAATCTGTATTAAAATCAGCCTCAGGTGTAAAAGTCAGTAAACAGGACAGCAATCCCTTGCATTTAGCAGGAGGTTTCTGGGAAGCCAGATTACCTGGAAAGAGTTGAAAAGGAGTTATTTTAATACATAAAGATGAAGTCACCTATGCTTAATAAGAATAGGCTTCAAATGAGCCACAGCATAAGGAAAAAAAAAAACAAACAGCTGCACAATGGGAGACATTACATGCCACCATGATCAGCATGAAGAATTTAATCCCGTGAAGGTGACAGAAATTTGTTACGAAGCACGGGGAGTTAGATGCTGGTAGATAGTTAGGGTTTAGCAAAGAACATCTAATACCCAAGATAAGTTGGTGTTAACCCTCTAATCAAGGATGCGGAGGAGACGAGAAAGAGCACGATATTTTGCTTAATTAGTTGCTATCAAAAAGAAGACTAGTTCAAGCACTTGCAAAACAAGGCAATCCAAGATTATTTAAAAGTTTAATAGTATTCTAGATTCTTTGGTAACACAGGGCTCGCCCGTGAAATAAAAATAATCCCTAGAGATAAATTTAAAGAAATATATCTCATTTTAATGCCCAGAGTAAAACGAGTATTCATTACAGCAAAGCAGTTTTATACCTATGTTCTCCATCTCAGATGTAATATATACAAAAGTAATCTTTATGACAGGAAGTGGCATGTAATCCTGCAAGAATGAACTGCTGTCATTATCTGCAAATCAATACAATTTTTTTTAAGTGGATATAACAGTACCTATTGATTTCACAGTTTTAGGACTGAAGCTTCAGTTTCTACAGAGAAGATTCTTGAAATGAGAAGAGCGCCGCACACAAATAATTGAGTTGATACAAACTCATTTGAAGTTTACAGTGCACTTCCCTTGAACAATGCAACAAGGGCTTCCCTCCCATTACCTCAGCTTAAGCTTTTTTCATTTTATATCAACTTTGTTTTGTGTAATTATAATGATTTTGAGGTGGTAGAGTAACACTTTACCAATCCTACCTGCAAGCTGTAGGAAGTATACTGTGCAAAACCTCTGCCTGTCCTGCTAATATGTTATTACAGAATACTTGTATGACTTTTGCTATGTGTAAATAGCCTGACAAAATAATTTCTCTTGTGAAAGTCTAAAACTGGCTCAGCACTTAAGAGCTTACAGTCTAAAGAGGCATGGCGAAGGCAAGGATGCTGAAGGAACGTGGAAGAACTAAATGACTTATCCAAGGTCACCTGATGCATCAGCCAAGCAATAAGCTCCATTGTGTCATGCTCTATTCCTTTAAGAGAGCTTTATTAAACTGGTAAAATCTTAGTATATATCTGCAAATGAAGCATATAGCAACTTTGGCTTGACTAGCTGATCAAATGGCTCATGCTGATTCAATGAATGATCAGTAATGAGAGCTGGCTGCGAGGCAAGATCTACCATCACACAGAGGAAGGACAAGAAAGATCAGACCACTATAAGAAAAGTTTAAAGGGAGGAGAACAGGGCCAGCTGACATCCCAAAATTAAACTCATAAAGCAAACAGGAAAACACATACAGTTTTTGGTCCTTACTTCATGGAGAAAAAACAGAGCGCTGCCTAACTACTAGCCAGCTATAGGTTAGTGTCTTGAAAACATAAAGAAAGATAATACAAGGAAGGAGGATGTGAAAGACCTGGAGAAGGCACAGGCATGTAAACATCAACATTATCCCCATCATTCCTGTCCTGTCAGACACAGCCCCATCCTCCCCCTTACCCTGCTTTGTCTACAGGGTTAGGCTCATTTTGGAGCTCAGCTTTTCAAATATCTGGTCTACTTATTTATCTATTTAACACTTTTCATATGTGTTGTTGAGACACTTCAACTGGGTATTTCTGACTTTCACGACATGACTAAAGAATTTCGCATGGACTGCCTGAAAAAGCTCAAACAAAAATAGAATCTTTTTTGTTTTGCTTTTTGTTTGTCAGAAAGAGCAGTGTTTTCATGAAGTAGTTTATGGAAAGGAAAGAAAAAACTCAAGGGAGTTATTTCTCCTTTGCATAGTGACTCATCATATCATAGTTACCCCATCATCTCCAAGGGCAACACCAGGCCAGAGCTGCTCTGGAAGATCTCCTTAGGGAAATACCCTCCTTTCAGAGCCATCTCAGGGCTCTTGTTCCAGGACCTTGCAAAACATAAGAACCTCCAATAGTAATAAAAACTAAAATAGGTTTCTGATAGGGAAGAACCCTATCTGCCAGTGACAGTTATACATCAAAGAAACCTTTTTCTTTCCGGCCTCAATAATGAAAGACATGAAGAATATTTACAAAGTGTATTGTAGCCTCTAGACGGTGCCATGGAGAAAGGCAAAACAGACCTCACAGCTGGATACGGGGCATCTGAAAAAGGAAGGATCAGAAGGAAAAAAGGAGCAAGAAAAGCAATAATCCGTCACCATGAAAATGGTACACAAAGACGGGCTTAAGTTCAAAATGTGTTTGCTTGCTCCTGGACACGCAGTCCTGAAGAAGAGTCAAAATTATTACTCGGGGCAATGCAAAAACAGGATTAACAGTCTTTACTGTTTAACATACTGCAATTTACATTATTTACTAGCATTTTGGTGGGTTTTTCTTCCCCCACTTTAGAAAGTCTTGGCTGTTTATACAACAGGATTTTAATCTTACCAAGACTTTACTGCAGTTGCCATTGAGGAGGAGCAAGGAGAGCACGTGCCAGGCACTTCTGAACCACTACAATAAAATACTGAAACTGGAAGAGGCAGAAGCACAGCAAGGAGTTTTAAACACCAAAAAGCAAGAGTTGCCATCCATCATCATAGTGTATTACCTGTAAAGATTAAGCCTCAATTCCCTGTATCAATACTTATGAAGTTGAAGGTACCTATAGCAGCAGCCCCATCTCTCCTTTGGGAGTGTAACCACCTCAATATGGACAGGCCATATATCCTATATTGTACCCAAGCTTCTAAATCAAATGACTTGAAGCAGCCTGATGGAAAACAAGCATCTGCTTTAGACACCGCACCACTGTAGTAACAAGCTTCATGAAGTAGGAAGCTCATTCTTCAGGGTAAAACTAGCAGGAGGCCAGAAAAAACATGGTATAAGAAGTTGCTATCAGCTCATCTACCTCATCAACATGGGCATCTTCATGAAGGAATGAAATCAGAGTTGACTTTAGCTCAAAAGACCTGGTCAGTGAGAAGCAAGTCCGGATCTTTTGGGGAAAGCAGCTATATCAACTGGATTCCCCCAAACTTCAGCAGTTCTGGGTTGGACAAAGTAGAGTTACCCTGTACCAGCAATTTAGCACTGCAATGAGAGGAAGCCTGGAAAACCAGCATTTCCCTGGGTCAAGCAGAATCTGCCACCAAGACACCTGTTTTATTTTGTGCAGCATTCGCAGAACTAGGAAAACCAGAAGGAAAGCGGGACAGGATTACGAACTGACTCATCTACTGCTATACAACCACACCTGCCAGGAGCAAGCTGAACAGCTTCCAAAGTGCTGGGAAAAGCAGAGTAGAAATCACTATCTCTAGAACAAATCAAGGGTTTGAGCAATAACTGGTCAAATAAAAGGATCAAGAAGAATATGCTCCTTGTTCGAGCAATGGTGCTTCTTTGGGAAGGGAAAGGTGGTGAAGAAAATAGACAACTGTCATACCAGTCCCTGGGTAGGGAATGACTTATGCTTATTCTTCTGCATTGGGCAAACTCCTGGAAAGCAGGGAGCAGCCCAGAAGACCTTTCGGGGACTGTTCTAGAGCCCCCCTGAAGCAGAGTTCACCCAACAGCCTGCAGCAGAGATGCAGAACATGGACCTCAGTGTGGACAATGCAATGCACCACGCAGCGCCTGCCCACAACATCTTGCTCAACTGAAAGAGATGTATTGGGAAAGGAAGCCAAGGACCTGGAGACAGTTATTGTAGGTTAGTTAATCAGAAAAAAGTGTAATGCAAAAGTATTCTATGAAAGCCTGCCCGTCCAGACAAGCTATAAATCAACTGTGAAGCAGAAAATGCTTTAAAAAATGCCCTTTACAAGCTGCTCTGCACCGCAAACAACCTCCCCCACACTACATACTGCAGCTTGGGGCAGGGGGTAAAGAAAGGGAATGGAGCACTCAGAGGCACAGTTGGAGCACACTCTCTTTGCAAATAAACAAGGCAAAAGAAAGCAAAGCAGAAGGGAAAAAAAGGCTCCAATATATATTGGTATAAACACTTATTAAGCAGGCTAAGTAGATGCTTCATAAGCAGTAAAAGAAGGGTGCTTACAGGCAGTATTTCTGGCAAATCAAAATCAGCCACCCTGCGAAGAGCCGAGCTTCACACAACTGGGAAGCCACACGGATGGAGGAGTTAAGAACAGACCGACATACCCAAAGCTCTCATTGCTGTGCAGGTTTGGGACTACTGCTGTGCCATCCCAGTATCTTTCATATATTTAGACTGGGGCTATTCCAGCTCTACAAGGAAAATCTCTGTGATGCCTGGGGTGACCTGTTGTCCTGGTGTCTGTAAACTGAGCAAGTGGTCTGAGCAGGGAGCAATTATGGATCCCTCAAGAATCTACACAGGCTCTGAAGTTGGGCAAAGCTACAGCCAGGCGTTGCAGGCTGGGATAGAAAAAACAACAACACAGGACTGGAACTGCAGGATGCATCCATGGTCACAGCCCCACTTGACTTTACGGGAAGAAGTGACTCTTCTGCACGGTGACGCCTGCAAACACTATTGTGTATGTTGGCCCTAATCTATTATTTATTACAGAATTCACAGATCTCTCTTCTAGCCAATTGACAATCAGCCAACTACAAATTTGCAGGGTAAAACACTGCACGGTCTGCAGACCCCAGAGCATTTGCTCTGGAACAAGGAATCACCCAAGAAAGAAGACCAGGGAGGAGGATGTCTGCACATGCCTGAAGTGCAAGATATTTATTTAAAGATTTTAACAGCATCACTGGATGTACTGTCTAACAGCTCCGGGTTTGAAATGATAATTGCTGGATTCCTAAGACTACTTGGTATGTTTTACTCATAATGTTTCTCGCAATCACACTCATCT